TTTATTTTTTTATTCTAGACTTCCTGAATACTTTTGTCTTCCTTAAATTGATTGACGACAGCATATTTTTTTTCAAAGAACACAAGGCAAGAAATCAATTTTTTTCTTTCAAAAAATCATGGTAAATATCTGTGAATATAATACAAAATAAAATTATGAAATTTGCAATAAAAAAAGTGTGCAAACGATTATAAATTCATTTCCGAACAAATAAAAAATAGTCCTCATGGACAATAGTTAGATTTAAAAAATACGCAAGAAAAATGTTATAAAAGTCCCAGATTATCCAGTAGTTTATAGTTAATTAAAATATGAAAAGAGTCTCTTTTTTGTGGAAAAAAAGATATTCGTTCTGTCTCAGGTTTTTTTAATCTGCATGATGCAATTCGCAGTCAGAATTCATTTTGGAAGGGGGAAATAAACATTTCTCATTTTTTAATTGGTCCAGAAATTTGATATCAGCTATTTTTTCGGATTAAATTGAAAAAAAAAATCAATCAAAAACGTTGGTTATTTAACTTTCTGACCTGGCTCTGATTTCGGTTCCTTTTGCTGCAGATAGGATGTAATGTTTACTCGTTATCAGACACATCGAAAACGCTCAGTCATCGGTTTCAGTAGCCGGACCAGAGAACGTGGTGGCGAAAATCAATGCCCTTAAGCTGCCTTTGATGAAGTCATTAAACGAGAATTGGCCGCTTTTCCGATGGCACAATCTATGGAGCGGTTGAAATTCCACCAAGACGAAATAAAAAACTTTTCACTTAAAAAAAAAAATGCTTGAAAACAACGGAAGTAAATAAATGAAGTAAAACAGGGAGCGGCGGAAAGCCACTTGTTCCCACCGTCATCATTCATCAAAAGTTGCTTGTCACTTTATAGACTCTCATCCCCCCGAGGGAGGGTTCGCTGCGGGCACGCGACAAGAATGGCCGATCGCCAAACGAGCCACAGGTGCAAATGCGGCCGCGGCGGCGGCCACAGGCCACAAGTGGCTGCAGCGGCCGGGCGAGAATTTCCCTCCTGCTGGGCCCGAGTCGCGTGCAAAATCGATGCAGCTGCTGATTCGAAGAGGGAACACGCTTTTCCGCGGCGCGAGGCGCCCCCGCGCCCCGCCACCCCCGAAACGCCCTGAATTGCCAACTGACCGCTTCGCACTTAATTAAAGCCACGCACCGTGAAATTTCGCGTTTCGCCCACACTTGTGGATCATCCTGTTCGCCAACTTGGTCCAACCGACTTCAAGTGAATTTTTAATAAATTTATTTCATATTATTTATTCTTCTCGGTCTATACAAAAATTTTAAATTGGAAAAAAGAAGAATGGGTTTACAAATAGCAGATGTGTGCTTAAACGCCCAACATAAAAAAAGACTCAACCCACGCTATCGAAAAATAGTATATACTAAGAAATTTTAATATATATTAAAATTTCTTTATCACACCGAAGGTTTTTACATCTTTCTTCCTAGACTTGGTTTTTTAATAAAACTGATTAAAATATAAATTTAATGAAGTCTGGTTGGTTTACTGTTTTGGAAAAATCCAAATTTTTCACTACTATTTAAAAAAAAAATGTGTATATATGTCTATAAATTTTTATTGAGAACTTAAAAAAATTAAAAAAAATTTGATACTTGATGATTTTGGAAAATACTTATCTACAAACATGGAAGTTGAAATAGATATGATTTGGATGTATAAAATAATTTTTTAATTTTAAAAAGTGAAGTTAAATTAAGTCTTCATAATAACTTCAAAAGTTATTTTTTTATAGCAATAAAAAAATGAGATTGAAAGTATTTTTTTTAAATTTTCATTACTGAAGTGCAAAAATATTACAAGTATAATAAAATAAACAAGGCTCATGGGGTCTTTTTGATCTCGGAAGTTTTAGCAAAATTCTTGCTAGTCGTTGCTCCTTTTTGTCCAACTACTCCGTTGTTAAATTATTTGTTTTTCAATAGTTGAATGTAAACAATATGAAGTAACAATTTGGACAGATAAAAATGAAAAAATGAAAATAAAAAGACGGTGCAGTTTCAACTATCAACCGATCATTTGCTGCCAATCGCTTATCGAATCATGATTAATATGTAGTTAGTTCTGTGAAAAAAGCCTCGATATTTGAAAAAGGGTGACAGGAGTCCCAGGTAAAGTGTCTTTTAATGAGATTTTATTTTAAATTTTTGACGGCACAACAGTTTAAAAAATACAGGTACATTTTGATTCAAAAGAATTTTTTAAGCATTTTTGCTTCCCTGCTTGAGGTTTCTAACTATTCTAACTAAAAATTTATATTACAGTAGCTTCTGCCAAAACATAGAAATTATTATGATGAAACATAATGTAACAAATTTCCAAAAAATTAAATAAGTGCATTAGAAAAATTGATCGCCCGTCTTTTCTTGTAAAATACTTTTATGAAAACAATGACAATAAATGGTTAGTTATAAATATATTGATATATTTTCGTTTCGACTGAGGACAATAAATAATAATAACAACAATCTATTATTATGAAAATGAAAATATTACACCAAATACTACTGCTGTGCTTGATTTTATTGGCCGCGAGCGCTATAATCAAATTGTTTTTGGGCGAGGAGTTGAAAAAATGAAGCCTCGGGCAGCACGCGGCGAGCTTTTGTAATCAGCAGAGAGAGTCTCGCGAAATGGAAGTGCTTCGTCAAGGCACACAACGATGATAATGCAATGTCGCAGCATTTGTCAGGCTAATCTGCCGGCACAATGCACCCCAGGGGGTGCGACGGGGATGACACTCGAGCGCTTTATTATGATGTCAGGCACTCTCATCACGCGCGCAATTACACCCCATCGCCCAACAATTGGCTGATCTTGCTCTGGAATCACTTCAAAAGAGCAGGTCGGTCACCTGTTTCTGATTAATTTCAAATGCATAAGAAAATGCAAATCAAAACAACTTACAGAAACAAACTTCCACAACTGAGAACTGAGACGATAAAATATGTTCATTTTTTAAATGAGTGAAAAAAATGGTCCATTTTATATGTTAATTTAGTAAAAAAAAAAAATGATAGTTAAATGATATTAAATTTAAAAGAAATTAAATAAAAATCTTTTCAAGAAAAGTATTTAAAACTTTAATATGCAGTTAAATATACTTAAAGTTGTGTCAATAAATTAAATATCAAATCATATAGTAGAAGACTTAGGGTATATAAGAATATATTTTTTTTCACACCTTCTAAATCTTAATTCATTACATTGAAAAAAGCATTCTCTTTTTAATATTTATAAAATTGTGTAATTAAAAAAAATATGCAACATTCACTTATTTTTTTTTGCGAGAAACTAAAAGGCAAGGAAAAAAATTCACCATTCCTGGGCAGAAACTTTTAAATTGAAATCCACAATGATATTCGTTTACCTCTCATAACTCATTTGTATGAAGGATTTTCTATGAGAGAAAATAAATCAGGTCATGGTAGGAATTGTTGCCCATTGAAAAAAAGAACGGCTGCGAAAAATTTTCCATTTTAGAGATTTAATTGGAAAGTTGTTTTCCCAGAAGAGAAAAGACTCTACCTCATATTATTCTAGAGCTAAAAATCCTGCTTCATTGTTTGATATGCGCAATCTGCATGGGAAAATACTTATGTTGATTTTATAAGTTCGCAGTTCTTTGTTTAAATATAAAATAAAAATATTAGAGCCGTCAAGTACTTTGTGCACTCAGCAAAACAATTGAGTTAAATGCACAATGTACTGAATATATTTCTGTAAATTTCAGTGCTCACAGCCTAATAAATCTACAAAAAAAAAAATATAAAATATAAGAAGGGTTAAAAAGGTTTTCAATTTGCATACGAGGCAAACATACTGTGTTATAATTGGAGAGCTGTTTTCCCAGAAGAGAACAGGCACTTAACCTCGTTATATCTTGAAAATCCTACTACATTGAATGAAATGCGCAATCCTGAGAAATTATTCATGTTGATTCGTTGATTCGCAGTCTTTTGTTTAAAAAAAAAAAAAAATTCGAGGTAATATTCCTGCAAAATCTAAAAAAAGTCAATTTCCAGAGGGGCAAATTTTTCCATCGAATATAAAAAAGCCTAATCATAATTACAGATTAAAAGATTTTCTCAGCCGACTGATGTTCCCGCCGCAAAAAAGATAACGCGACGTCAGCCGGGGTGGCGGCTCGGAAATTAATGGTATCAAAAGGTAAGGGCGCTTTTTGCTCTTTTGAGAATTTGCCGCCCGATGCGTATCGCGCAAATTTATTTTCATTAAAAGCAAAACCACTGCACCATAGAGCAAAGGGACTTATGCTCTCTTTTACATTTATTTCAGCTGGAAATTTCGTCTCAGTCCTGCACCAATAATTGACACGAGATTTAGGTGAAATGTTATGTAAATTAAAAAATTAATCCTTGCATAAAAACAAAACCAAAATCCATATGGGCAGTAAATTTACTGAAATTTTCAAACCAGCGCTGCCATTAGTTTTCTTCGAGAGGAATTTTCAAATGAAATGTAAAACTTATACGTGTAATTGAAGTTGCCTAATATGGGAAATGATTAGCGAAAAATCAATGTTTAACTGCGTGTTAGTTTTTTGGGCAGCAATAATATTCCCTCTCTGGAAAAAAAGCCGTTTTTCAGGAAAATAAAATTAATAATTTTTTACTAGATATTCAACTTTAAATAGATTTTGAAACGAAATAATTTAAATAAATGTCTAAATAGAATATTTTTTTATGTATTTCAATATTATAATAATTTTTTTTAACCAAATCTTAATTCGATCGTCCCCATTGACAGAGCGGGTTCAAGTTTCAAGCAAACAAATATCATCTGATAATAATACTCTGCGCAAATATTTGGCAATCCTTCTTCATGTTGTTGTTTTTTTTTTGTCCTCGGCACCCATCCTCTCTCGTTCACCAACACGAGTTCGTCGTTCGGTGCCTTCCATTCTGACTTGCCATCTGGCGGATGCCAAGTGCAGTTAATTGTGGGGACAAGGTCAAAATCGTCCAACTCGCTGAGACGCGTCGCGCCGCAGTTGATAAAAAGACCCCACTTTGGGTTTGCGGCCGCAGAGAGGTTCGATCTTCAGTAAAGATGGCCTCGACTCGACTGCTGAGCAAGGAATTACCAGACATTGAGGTGAAATAAGAAAAACTCCAGTTTATTCGTCAACAAAAATATTTAATCATTTAATTAAGTATTTTTTATTCATTAAATTAAATTATTGTTTAAATTAAAATTCATTTAAAAATACATTGAAATTCTACAATTTTGTCTCAAATTGATTTAAATTTAAAAGCAAATCAAGAGTGTGTTGTTAAAAAGCTGCAAGTATTTGCTGCGTAATCTTTTTAGGCCAGCGTGTTGACTCGACTCTTCAGTCGTGCCGCGCAGTGCAAAGTCAATATGCGCCATGCATTTTCCGTATCTAATTTGAATAAATTATTATTTACAATTTAATTCCGTACTAATTATTTCAAACCGCAAACCGGCGCCAAAAACAGTCACGCGACTCACTGTCAGACATTTAGGAAAATCACATTATTTATTCGAAGATAAATAGATTTTTATACCATTTCGTTTCAAAACATTTTTTAAATAGAGTGCAAGATTAATATAATAATTTGTCCCCTCTCTTGGTTTTAACAATGATAATTTTAATTAAATTTGAAGGTTACACAAATTAATATAGGAATGAAATAAACCCATCAAAATAAAAACAAATAACTTATATTATTCAAAATTGAATTATGTATTATTCTTTTTAAATGTAATTATCCATTTCTTAACAATTATTTTTTAGGAAGCTTCTACGCAGAAAAAGTTGCACCTACTCGCTGATTTATGCTAATGGAATTTGTGTGTGTTCGTACAGGACCTGCTGGCCCTGAATCCGAAAATCGCTCCGTTCGCCAGCGTGGTGCCTTCGGCGGTGACCAAGCAGGAGAAACTTAAGTGGAAGCGCAATGCCAACAAAAACTGTACGGTGAGTGAATTCTTGCTTGTTATTCGAGTACAGTGGCGGGTCAAGGGTCAATCCGTCCCGGCTGTCGGCGAGACGTGACGCTTTCGTCGAGCGCCTCAAAGTGCTTTTTCCAGATTCAAAATAGATTTCTCAAAATAGATTTTGGCCTCTAAAAATTTGGGAGCTTAAAAATCATTTTCGAGAATTCAAACACTTCATACATAATTTTTTTATAGCGTTTTAGAAATTAATGTGTTTTAACCGCAAATATATTTCATTACAAAGACTGACCCCCCACCCGGAATGTTATCTGGTTTGGTTTAGTTTGGCTCCCACTTGATTCATTAACGCTTGGAGGCTCGTCTTCAGAAATAGACGCGTCAATTCTAAAAGCTCAGGGAAATAATTTGTGAACAGAAAATCATGGATAAGGTTAGCGTGAAGCGTGAACACAGATTAATACAATAAAAAAATACGTTCAGTTAAATTTCTCTCAAATAAATTATTGTTTTCAACAAAATGTTTTGTAACGATGGACAAATAAACAACAATAATAATTAAATAATAAAAAATTATGTGTTATACATTGTAAGGAAATAAACTTTTTCCGATATTTTTCTTCATCAAATATTAAACGATTAAAGATAATAAATTATTATAATGATATTTGATTTACTTATCAACTAATTTATTAATTTATTTCTTTATTAAGTTGCATAATGTTTGGTGAGTATACAATTAACTTGCCAGTATTATATTTATTTTGCATGCCTATATGTGTTTGAGATTCACTATACTTCCAGTCAGCAGTTTAATCCAAACACATTTGTGATATTAATTGCTGATTGACCTCATTTTGAGCCACCGATCAGCGAGTACACAATGCAAAAAGGCATTAAGGCCACGCAACGACTCTACTTAATCATGATAATGGCTCACAGAGCAAACACATTATAATACCATGTAATTGATATATTCACCACGGCTCTGATTTTTGCTGAAGTTAGTATAGGAAGTCTCTAGAAGCAGAGCTTTGTAAAAATATCAAACTGGCGTGGAGCGAAAATTTTCAGCAAAACCACCCACAAAAGCCAAAGAAGTTTGAATTTAATTTTAAATAATTTTTTTATCCCTCCTTATTTAGTTCAAATTTTAGTGGAGGTATAAGAAAATAATTTAAAAATAAAAAATTCATCCTTTTGAATAATTTTATCAACTAATTACACTTTACTTAACTTTAATGTATGCTCCACGGATCCCAAGTTGAGGGAAAAATCCTTTTTTGATTTTTATGCATTTTTATGATTATTTTCAACAAATTTTTTTTGTGAATTTTAATAATTAAAATTAATGTTTCTAATTATTTTTTTATGATGTAATTTCATTTTTCAGTCTTGTCCAAGTCTGGAGAACAATTTTGACGACATCAAGCACACCACCCTGAGTGAAAGGGCAGCCCTGAAAGAAGCGGCCCGGTGCTTGAAATGTGCCGACGCGCCCTGTCAAAAGTCGTGTCCGACTCAGCTGGACATCAAGAGCTTCATCACCAGCATTGCCAACAAAGTACCGTTCTTTAAAATAAATTTAATCCTGATCACTAAATAATTTCGTCAGAATTACTACGGAGCCGCTCGAGCCATCTTTTCGGACAACCCGTTGGGTCTGACCTGCGGAATGGTGTGTCCGACGAGTGACCTGTGCGTGGGCGGGTGCAACCTGGCCGCCTCCGAGGAGGGTCCCATCAACATCGGCGGCCTCCAGCAATTCGCCACCGAGGTGTTCCAGAAGATGCGAATTCCGCAGATTTTGCGGCCAGGCTTGGTGCGTCCTGCAGGTCATGACCGCAAAATCGCCCTGCTGGGCTGCGGACCTGCGTCTTTGTCTTGCGCGACCTTCCTCGGCAGACTCGGCTACTCGGACATCACCATATTCGAGAAGAATGACTACATTGGAGGCTTGAGGTAGTAAAAATTCTAAATTAATTGATTAAAAACTAGGTTATAATTTATATAGGATTAGAATTAAAATGAAATTTATCTAACTCGCAAGTATGGGGAAATAATGCGTCGTCAAAATAAGTAATTTTTTCTAGTTTGAAGAAGTACCCAGGAGTTTTAAATTGTATTATGATCATTGTGAAAAATTTCAATTAGGAAAATATTTTTTCTTAATTTCATTACTAGCTTAAAATTAATAACTAACGGAAAAACCCCTTGGATTGGTTTAAATTTTATTTTATTTACAAAAAAAAATCAAATCAGCGCTGCCATTAGCGTTGGGGTACTTTCGAACATAATACAACGAGACGGAAAATTTTTCCTGAGCTTTAATTTATTTCACCTCGATCTCCAATTAAAACTAATACGCATGACGTGCAATTGAAGTTTCTCCTAGTGGCAACGGAAATATGAGCGAACAGTTTAAATCCCGCGTGTTTTTAATTACAGTGCGAATCTCTATGAACACTAAATAGGAGAATATTTTTCTGATTTATTCTCGTAATGAGCAAATAGCAAACAAGAATTCTCTGGAAAGGTTGCAAGTAAATACAAAATATCGCAAAATATCAAATCTGCGCTGCCACTAGCGTTGGCACTTCAGATGTAACAACGAGAGTTTATTTGCCGCAAAACATTTCACCTCTCAAATTAAAACTGGCACGCATGACGTGGAATTGCTCTCCGTGATATGGGAAACGCTTAACGAACAGTAATGAAAATATTTCCGACTGTCTGCGCGAATTTAGAGTTTAAATTCTGCGTAAATTTTTAATTTCTTTGTGAATTATTTTGATCTCTGTAAAAAGTAAATGAATAAGCATATAAATAACAAAATCGTTTGAAAATTCTGCAATTAAATTAAAAATATAATTATAAATTCTGCCTGCGCTTCCACTAGCGTTTTTACTTGAGATATTACAATGAGAGTTGACGACTATTTCCATAAATTGTGCTCGGAAGTAATTTGCCTCTCAAATGAAAACTAAAACGCATGACGTAGAATGGAAGTTTTTCCAAACAAATCGTGAAAATTAATTAAAATAATCTGATGGGAAACTTAGTTTGACGCTTTATTTCGTTATGTTTTCAAAATTTTATAATTAGTTCTGCAGAAATTCCTCAATATCGTCTTCCCTATGATGTGGTCAACTTTGAAATCGATCTTGTTCGTGATCTGGGAGTTAAAATTGAAACGGGAAGGGCCCTGTCAACCCAGGATCTGACAATCAAGGTAAATTAATTCCTAAATAATCTGAAATGCTATTTTTGAAAACGGAATTTTTAGAGTCTTCGAGAGGAAAAATATTCGGCGATTTTCATCGGTATTGGTTTGCCCGATCCGAAAAATTTTGGCGTGTTCGCTGGATTGGGAGAAGCTCAGGGTTTTTTCACGTCCAAGAGCTTCCTTCCGCAGGTGTCTCGCGGCAGCAAAGCGGGAATGTGCGCTTGTAAATCGACCTTGCCCAAACTCTACGGGTCAGTCGTGGTCCTGGGCGCCGGAGACACTGCCTTTGACTGCGCCACCTCAGCACTGCGTTGCGGTGCCAGAAAGGTCTACGTCGTTTTCAGGTTAGTTTCATTTTATATTTAGGAAATTTAATTCAATGAATATAAAAAAAAAAAATTAGGCGAGGCACTACAAATATTAGAGCTGTTCCTGAGGAGGTCGAGCTCGCAAGAGATGAAAAGTGCGAGTTTGTCCCATTCCAGGTAAATTTGAAATTATTTAAAAAGACCAAGGTTTAAATTTTCAGCAATGCCACCCATAAAACCAGCTTATTAAAAAAATCGTATTATATTAAAAAACATTCAAAAAAAGTGGATTTTGTTAAGAGTTTTTTTTTTTTTTAATAAAATTGAAGCATAAAAAATATTACAAATTAATATTTTATGGGTAAATCATGATTAAATTTTCTTCCACATTTCCAATGTTTACTTCTTGTTTATGTGATATTTTTTAGTGCCTTTTCAGAATTTTAGCTTTTCATAAAAGTTGGGATGGGTTGTTTGCTATCTTGTTCAAATCGGCCAGTAATATAAACTTTTGATAGGCTCCTAAAAAAGTCTTGGTGGAGAATGGAAGGATTTGTGGCATCGAACTCGTCCGCAACGAACAAGACGACAACGGCGAGTGGCACTTGAGCGACGACCAAATAACAAGAATTAAGGCCAATTTCGTCATCTCCGCTTTCGGCTCCACGCTGGACAACACTGACAGTAATGCGCTCTCAATTTAAAATCTCACTTAATTGAGCCATTTTGCCTCCGCAGCCAAGGAAGCTTTGGCACCACTGAAATTCAACAAGTGGGGTCTGCCTGAGGTCAACCCTGAGCTAATGACTTCCAGCGAGGCGGATGTTTTTCTCGGAGGAGACGTTGCCGGAGTAAAATATTTTCTGTACATCTGTAAAATATATTTATTGACCAATTTTTTGTAGGTATCAGAAACAACAGTCGAGTCTGTCAATGATGGAAAAACAGCGTCCTGGAGCATTCACAAATACCTTCAATCTCTGGAGGGCAAAAGCGTCCCTGAGGCGCCTCAACTTCCCAAGTTTTACACTCCGATTGACGATGTGGACTTGAGTGTGGAAGTTTGCGGGATGAAATTCCCCAATCCCTTTGGTCTGGCGTCCGCACCACCAGCCACTACAAGTGCAATGATCAGAAGGTCATTTGAGGCTGGCTGGGGTTATGCGGTCACTAAAACGTATTCCCTTGACAAGGTTCATCTTCAATTGTTTTTATTTATTTGACAAAAAGATCAACTTTTTTCAATTTATAGGATATTGTTACCAATATTTCACCTCGCATTGTGCGCGGCGTCACGTCAGGCCACAATTACGGTCCTGAACAAGGTTCTTTCCTCAACATCGAACTCATTTCGGAAAAGTCATGTGCTTACTGGTGCAGAAGTGTAACGGAACTAAAGAGGGACTTCCCTGATAAGGTTTTAAATTTTATAGAAACTGTTTTAAATATTTATTTTTTCTTATTATTAAAATTTTTCAGATTGTGATTGCAAGTATAATGTGCAGCTTTAAAAAGGATGACTGGATTGAGCTCAGTAAACTGGCGGAAGATGCAGGCGCAGATGCCCTGGAACTCAATCTCTCTTGTCCCCATGGAATGGGAGAGTCTGGAATGGGCCTAGCGTGTGGACAAGTAACTAAAAAATAGAATTTATACCTTAGAAAAATATTAACAACAATTAATTTAGAAACCAGAGCTTGTCAAAGACATTTCGCTGTGGGTTCGATCTGCTGTGAAAATTCCCTTTTTCGTCAAATTGACCCCGAACATCACTGATATCGTCGTAATTGCAAAAGCTGCCTACGAAGGTATGAAAACTAATCACAAAAGCCAAAAATAAAATTCTTCCTTCAGGTAAAGCTGATGGCGTCTCTGCAATCAACACCGTTTCTGGTCTGATGAGTCTCAAGAGTGATGGATCGGCCTGGCCTGCTGTGGGCAAGGAAAAGCTCACAACGTACGGTGGTGTGTCCGGAAACGCAATTAAGCCCATGGGTCTGCGAGCTGTGTCTGCAATTGCAAATGCCCTGCCAGGCTTTCCTATTCTTGGAATAGGAGGCATCGACTCTGCCGATGCAGCCTTCCAGTTCCTCATGGCAGGTGCCTCTGTTGTTCAGGTATTTTTTTTTTTTTTTTTTTAATTTTTTTATGAAGCTCAATAATTTATTTTTTAATCAGGTTGGAAGTGCGATTCAAAATCAAGATTTCACCCTCATCGACGACTACTGCTCTGGTTTGAAAACACTGCTCTACTTCAAATCACTGGAGCACCTGAAGGACTGGGATGGCCAATCACCTCCTACACCTGTTCACCAGAAAGGAAAATCTGTCACTTTGATGAGTTCCATTGGAAAGGTGAATAATTTTTTTTATCATGTCTGCTTATTTATTTTAAATTTTTAATTTAGCAACTGCCTCATTTTGGCAACTTCCTTGATGAACGTGAAAAAGTGGAAGTGGAAATCAAGAAAAAGGAAGGTCCCTTATCTGAAAAGAACCAGCCGACCGTCAATCGTCCCGCTCCGCTGCCTTCAAAGGTGCCGAGTCTGAGTAATGTGATTGGGATGGCGCTTCCGCAGATTGGTGCGTACAAGAGACTGGACAACAAACAGCAAGTCGTTGCCCTGATCAATGACGTAAGCTGATTAAATGAATAATTTTGCTGGAGAAATTAAATTTTAAATATTGTATTTTAGGATATGTGTATCAATTGCGGCAAGTGCTACATGGCTTGTAACGATTCCGGATACCAAGCTATCACTTTTGACGCTGAGACTCACATTCCACACGTCACAGACGATTGCACCGGCTGCACAATGTGCGTTTCCGTTTGTCCTATCATCGACTGCATAACGTGAGTGCTATTATTTATTATTTTAGTCAATAATTAGATTAAAATGGTACAAATTTTTCATTCCAGTATGGTCAAAAAGACGATTCCTCACGTCATTAAGCGCGGAGTGGCTATCAATAACGCTCAGCATGCTATTAATGAATGTCAGTAGTCGCAATTTCCAATTTTTAAATTTTATCGTGGTTTTGGATTTTTAATTGGGCTAAAACAAAACAGATTTGGTAGCTGAAAGTTGTTAATCTAGGCTTAATAAAGAACCCAAATTTTTAAATAATCTTAATAATGTTTAAACAATTTTGATCAAATTATGCATCAAATTTTATACAGAAAAATCTGACTTGGAGGGTCCTAATCAAAGAGAAACTTATTGTGTCTTTCATTATGTGCACTTGTTGAGCTTTGCATATTATTAGTTAGAATCTCCTGCAAAATCCAGAGTATGCAGCCCGCGCCACAGAAAAGCTCCCACGGTTGCATACATTCAACTAAAAAAATCAATACATCGTAGCTTATGAATATAATATAAATCAAGGAAATAAAAATAAGAGATAAAAATTCATTTTAAAAGTTTATTCTTCGTTTTATGTGGATTACTTTATTAAATTATAAAGAAACTAATAGCACTATTTTGTCTCACTCTAACAATTCTGGCTGTACAAAATTTTGTTCCTTTTTTGTAATAGAAATCCAATCGGTTTGTCATAGTCGTCCACTTTCACACACATATATGATCAATAAATAATTAAATGTCAGCTTAATAAATATTACAGAGATATAATAAAAAAAAATGCAGCGTTAAATAGCAATAAAATGCAACTTGTCCTGACTTTTAACATAATATAAGTAGTGATTGTTGGAAATTCCGTAAAATGCGCCTTGGGGAAGGCAGCGTTTTGATTTTGCCAGGCACTATCGGGAGATCGCTTAATTTAAAACTTCTCTGGCAAAAGAAAATTAAAATTATTGCAACAGTGTAATCGGAAACAATGACATAATTGTTGTCCTTTGGTTATGACGTAAATTGTTTTAAGTATAATATATAAGTAAAAAAGCTACAAATTTTTAGGACCTAGAGACCATTGCTTTGCCCTGACCCGCATGCAAAATGCCAATCAACCCTGAAATCCGTTGGGCGTCAATAACCAATCGGACTCCCTGTTGAGGGGCATTTTGCTGAAATTTGCACTTGGCCCTAAATCTGACCAGCACAGCAGTTTAGAAGTGTTTCCTCTCCTGTCTGTCGGTCGTTTTCAGCTCAACCTTGGTCTCCTCCACCTCCTTTTTTGGTGCACTGCTGTCAGCCGAGGGCAAAATTGGCTGGAAGCCGCCGATAAGCTGAGGAGTGAAGTTTTCGATGTCGAATTTGGAAGCTGCTGGCTCTTGCGAAGGTTCAGGCACATCGTGATCAGCTCGTTCGACTATACCCTGAGGACGGAACTCGGAATCTCTGATGGCCGTCCATCCGTTTCCATGCGAGGGAGCTACGTTGGCACTGGCGTGGAAAGGCGCCTGGAAAGACTCAGGAGGAGAAGGGGCGACTGCCTCTGGTTGAGTGACTCTGTGGTGTGAGGTGATTACGTCAGCGGTGTGCACCTCAGGCCTGTGCTGAGGGTTGACGACAAACACCTGGCCCTGAGTTGAGCCCGAGTGGCCTCCGTCAGGGCCGGCGTGCATGATGGCAGAGACGGTGATTTCACTTCTGTCGCCGGTTTGAGGGACGACGCTCACTTTGTTCTTGTGCTTGATGGAGAAGCTGGGCCCGTCGTGCCTGTCGATGGGCTTCTCCAGGGCATAAGGGAAGTCAGTTTTGCCTGGCAAGATGGGCTGTTCTGCCTGGTGCAGTTGGTTGGGAGGCAGGGGGCGGCTGGAGCCCTGTTGGCCTACGTGAATATCGTTCTGGTTGGCGTTGGGGTAAACGACGTACACGCCAGGGGTGGAAGGTCGCTCGGCAGGTCGCTCCTCGGGCGCTGGGGGTTTGTTCTCCATGAGAGGGTGAGAGGGAGGAGGCTGAGGAAGTGGAGATTCCACTCTAGGTGCGTTCTTGATCATGGCACCCTTCATCATTTGCAAGGTAGCGACTTCAGGGCCCACACGACGTCCTACAGGAGGGCCTTGGTTAGGGGGACCTTGGTTAGGTCCATGGTGACCCTGAGGAGGGAAGCGTTTGAACGGAGGGGGTTGTTGTGGTGGGGGACCGCCAGCGTGCTGCCTGAACATATAGTACTCGCTATTGTCAGGTCGGAGGTTAGGACGGAATTGGGGCAGAATATTGGGCAAGGAGTCGTCATTTCTGTTGCGGACACCACCGACCTTCTGCTGAGGACGGAATCTGAGTGGAGGTGGTGGTCTGTTTTCAACGTGATGGCGGTCGATAGGTTTTGCTTGGACAAAAGTGTAGGGGTTTTCTTGAGGAGGGCGTCTGAACGGAGGTCGCTGCTGGTCACGGAAGGGGTGGATAGGCCTTTTAGGCTCGTACCCTGGAGGCAGATTCTGTCTGTACGGGCCAGGTGAGGAAATAGGTGGTGGAGTGGAATCAGGGAAGGTGACTCTGGTTGAAGAAAATGTTGGTGAAGACGGAGGAGGAGTTTGGGCTTGTTGCCACCCTTGACTGTCCAAGATTGGTCTCTCAGGTGCGTACCTGGGAGGAAGAGGCACACCCTGAGGAGCCCTGAAAGGTGCTCCAGGGAAAGGTGGGCGCATTTCAGTTTCCAAAGGTCTTACGTCACTCACAGGTGGCCTGAACTCCACCTGAGGTGGGCGCATTTCCAAATCAGGAGGGCGGACTTCAGCAGGTGCATTGTGGGGCCTCACATCACCGAAATCGGGACGAGTTTCGATTTCAGGTGGAGTAAGTTCGAGCTCAGGTTCTTTGTAGTTGACCTCAACAGGGGGCTGAATTTCAATTTCAGGTGTGGGTGGCTGATTCGGGAACTCAGGTTTCTCTGGCTTTTTAACAGTGTCTTGCTTTTTCTTGGGAGGAATCGGCCGGGCAGTTTCACTCTCCTCGCTAGGGTCATACTCGAAGGGTGGCAAGGTCGTTGGTGGCACGACGGTGCTTGGATCGACACTGTGATGGTGAGGATGTAGCGGGTGATTATCCTGCGGGTGGGCTTCTGAAACTTCGGCGGAGATTTCCTCATAGTCATAATATTCAGGCGTCTCGGACGAGGGCTTCGCTGGTGGCCAAAAGTCGAGCAACTTTTTAGTGGTTGTGCTTTCTGCGGTTGGCCAGGTGGAGAAATAATAGGAAGGGGCTGCGGTGGTGGTGGTGGTCGTTGCCTGCTCTTTGACGGCGCCCGTGCCCTGCAGTTTGGTGCTTGCGTAGGAGCTGGAAATCAACGGCACCTGTGGCACCTTTGATGACTTATGGGAGGGTTGCTCCAGATCGTTGGGTCTGATTGGCCCAAGGGTGTCTTTTCTGTCGATAGGGTCGGTGTCGATGGCAACCTCTTCGTAATCGTAATCAGCGTGTGCTGGAACCTGAAAAAAAAAGAATATTTAAAACTGCAACTAATCAATTAAATTTAAAAATTAACCTTCGAGGAAAATTTATGAGCTGGCTCTGAACTTCCGGCGGATGCTCCCGAAAAGTCAAAGGCACCGGTTACGGGGTCTCTCTCCAAATAAAATGGTTTAGTGCCAAATCCGTACAAGCCTTGCATTCTGTAACCCTAAGAATATATACATATATTTTTTTTAAATTAATAAATTTAAATAATTTATCTCACTTTATTAGGAGTAAGCATTGCTGGAGCCGATTGTGCGGCATCGAGGTCTGGTGGTGCCATTTCGGGGGGCGGCTTCTGCTCTGTGGGGGCGGCCACTGTCGTGGAGGCCACGAGCAGCATCACCCAAAGCGTTGCCCTCTGGGCGGTCATTCCTGCAAGCAAAAGACGAACGACCTTTGAGATAAAAATATAAAACAATTAAATTTAAAAGGAAAGATATTTCAAGGCAGGCAATTGTCCGAGCGCGCGCGTGTTTTCCTTATTGCGAAACGTTCGTTTTTAAGCGGCGCGCGAGCAGAGCAAACAACCGGCCTAACCACTTTGGCTTGCTGCTAATTTGGACATGTCCATAGAGGGCTGAAAGTGATCGAGTCGGTTCCGTTGAATTGAAAATGTACAATGTACCGCTAGCTCTTTTCAGCATTGCTGACGCGTGTTTTACACGAAATGATGCTCGCGTGCGTGCACTCATTGTTTTACAAGTTGTAAGTATTTTTGTCTCTCGCGTGTTCCTGTTTCTGCAGCATCTCTTCTCGCTTCCTTGTTCTCTGTGCGCCGAGAAACAAGTCAATTGAGCAATTAAATCTCGAGAATTTCAATCTCACCAGACTGCATTTAGTTAAAAATGGAAAAGAATGGGAAAACATAAATTGTTTTATTTCCTCACCAATAAAATAAGAATAAAAAAACGGTAAAATTACAAATCTGATTAAAATTTGAGGCATTTTTTAATTTTAAAAATATCAGAATAAAAAAAATGGTGAGTAAACATTCCATTTTTTTCCATGCGCGCCCCTTAACATTCCCTGCCCATGATTTCAAAATTTCCCGTACTGCCCGCTGCATTTTTAAGGCGAGAAAAGATTGTGGCTGCACGCGTGATTTTATTGAGTAAGGCGGCGGCCGTCAAGAGCGGTCAAGGTCACTTGAGCGCGCCCTTGCCTGAGGGCGGTCTGTTGACCTGGCTGATGCTGTGACGCAATAACCTTTCTTTCTTTCTTCCTCCGCTCGTCGCTCTCTCATGCATCTTTGGTTAAAAAAGCATGTGTGTATGTGTCATGCGAGTGAGCGGCGCGCGGAGTGAGTTGGGATTTCAACGGGACCGGCTCGACCACCGTTATGCATGCCTAATGCCCGCCTTATTTAATCAAAGCAGCGGCGCCTCGTTCTCATCTCCGACCGTTCCTCCGACGTATAAAATAATAACATCTGATAAATATATAGAAAAAAATTATGTAAAGAGAGCAGGTGCACAGCTGGTGCTCTAATCCATTTTATTAATATTCCAGTAAAATTAAATAAAATGAACAGAGATGATTTGGCACTGTGATTGTTGGGTTTAGATAATTACGCCTGAGTGACTTCGAAAAAAAATGTTGATGAGTCACTTTCGTGTCTTTATTTTACGTGTTCTGCTCCGTTTGAAAGTGAAATTGCATGCGGATTTCGTTTGAAAAAGATAGCTTAATTGAGTTTAATTAAATTAAGAACACTTAACTCGAGATTGTCTTTAGACACGCATTGCTGGATTAAATTTAAAAAAACAACTTTCAGAATTTCAGACTGTTTTTTTTATAATCTGATATAATAAACTCAAATTATTATAATGCAATATTTAATAAAATGTATATATATGTGTGTAAATTCATTAAATCTTTTTTAATGCATATAATTAGATTTTACATTCCAAATATTATACTAAAAATATAAATAATAAAATATATAAATATTGAATTTTAAATAAAATTAAAAATAAGTATCAGTACAGAAATAATTTTCTGTTCAAATTATTTTCGGTTTGAGGGTAGATGAAACAATGATTGGGAATTAAGATTTGCAATTATTTTGAAAAAAATATTCCTTTCACATTTAATCCTTTCCATTGATCACATAAAAACACAAACACTTTCAATAAAAAATTTGATTTGTCGTCAAGGTACTATTCTGCGTGTAAGACAATTATTTTTGAAAATTATTATTATTGTTGTTTATTTGTCCAAATTGTTACATCACATTTTGCTAAAACTTCCGAGGCCAAAAAATTTTTTGACAATTATTGAAATACAAATTTTGAATAATGTGCGGCTTTCGAAAGACAAGTTAAATGTTTCAGAAATGCTACGGACAGGAAACAAATTTTACTTGAGTTATTTTTGCTTTTCATTTATAAAAAAATGCATTTTTTTTTAAATTACATCAATTTTAAAGACATTTTTAATTTCTTGAAAACTTATTATTTTGATGTATTATTACAAATTTGCTGTGCAATTTTATTGCTAAAAAGGTGGAGCAGGGGCTATTTTAACCGTTTACACAGTTTTGCACCAACTTACATTTTAAATTAGGCAATAGAGCGACCCTGACTTGTGCAAATTGTGAATGAGTCTCGACAATTATTTCCGCGCTCCATCCGTGTTTTGTGCATTTATTCTCTTTCGGCATTGTTCTCCGTCGGAAAGCAGGTTAACTCTTATTAGATATGCCTCGCAGGGCAAATTGCGTGGGATTCTTATTATTGCCGCGCGCGCGTTCAGCTCTCCGCCGACTCTTTTTGTTCGCGGAATGAATCGGATAAGCAAACATGAATAATTTGGTCTCGTCATTTCGTGACGCAGCCCACAAGAAAAAAGATGTTTCCGCGCACACCTCGTCGGAATGTGGGTCTCCGCGAATGATTAAGCAGCGAATTTTTGGGTCACCACCCATGCAAATTGTGCGTGTATGGTTTTTTTTAACCGAGGCTTCTTGAAAAAGTCGTGTTTGTTACGCAAAAAGGTCATACCGACCGACGTATAGAATTGGAACAAGACGTAATTTGCACAATTGGCTTGTCATGACAGGCGTGCTTCCAGATCATTGTTTGGTTTTTAAATTGAAGGTAATCTATTACATTGTTGTATGCATATGAAACTCTTAATGAAACATGTAGAAAGAAAAATATCAAGAAAATTTTCTTCAAAAAAAAATGCCACAATTCATTTTGGTGTAAATTGCTATTTCAATGAAAAGTAGATCAAAATATATACAAGATAGTTCTATTTTTCTTCTATCCAAGGAAAATAAATTAATTTTTGAATTTTAAATAGATTTAATTAACTTAAAAGCGGTTGAATTTAGATCAAATTTTAATTTTTATATTTTGGATATTAAAATTATTTCTATTCAGCTAATAAAAAAATTGAACATAATCAACGATTAATGTTGAATGAATTTTATATTAAAGTTTTTCCAATTAATTTTTTTTTCGTTCTATGATGAAAAGGAGCACCTTGAGGTCGTTGAGGAGAAAAATTCCTGGCTTGAGAAAAACGCTGTCTCGGTTTCGAAATCATGAAGAATGCAGTTAGTTTCTTCTTTCTGCTCTTATGGTTAGGTTTGGGCTTGAACTTGACCGCGAATCGCGTGGCATATTACCACACACGCACTCTTCGTGTGTGTATTTTATTTTATATTCTCTCTTTCCTCTAGTGAGAATGAACTCAAAGTGGAATCGACACAGTAGCATAATTACTCACATCGGCACTCGCCGCACGATATATATATTTATGATTTCTCGCGCGCCGCAATTTGAACCGGCGCCAACTAGGTTTTTACCACCGCGATCATCCGTAGCCCACATTTATGCCAAGAAAGAAAAAGAAATGCGAAATTACAATGCAAACGAAATTCTCAGAACCCAACCTGATGATCCAGATTCGATTTTTTTTTATAATTATTATACTGCCATTGAAAAGCGTGAGTGTGGTTGCGTGTGAAGTTCGAAAAATGAGGAAGTCTAAAAAGAGGATTCACGAAAGGACGAGAGAAAAGAAAGCAGTCTCTGCGTATAGTGGAGGTTTCTGGAATTCTGATTGAAGGATTGACTCATCGTGAAAAGAGAAATTGTGATCCTGAATCCGGATCCCTCGTCTGTGTGGAGAGTTTTCCTGGCAGAAAAACCAAAGCACGTCACCTACGTGCGTAAAATGACACGAGGAAATTTAGCCGCGGCAGAACTTTTACCATACACTTTTTAAATTTCAAGCTGGAGAGAAAAGAAAAGAGTTTCTATAGACATCATCAAAGTGTTTTATATTATCACCGTGGAAGCATGAAAATTTCGTGTTTGAAGTTCCCGAAAGTTTATACGGGAGACCGAGATAATTTGATTTGATTTTTCTATGTAAACATCAGATTATTCAATTTATTTTTATGTTGTTTTTGCAGGGTTTAAACCAGTTTAAACAAAATATTAATCCATTATTTCGAAGACTCATAAATCTATTGACAATGACTATATCGGACACAAATCGGAGGGAGGAAGCTTGAAAAGATTTTGTGAAAAATAACATTCCGTAAATGAATATCAATAAAAATCACAAAGTTAAATCAGGAGTCGATCTGCGACGAATTTTTTTAAATTTAAATTTTTAACGCACTCAAAATATAAAACATACCCCACCGAATCCGTAAAAACATGGCGCTTTTCACATATAATTTTTTTCTTTCTCCCTTGATTTGTGAAGAATGAACAATAATAATACAAAAATTATTTGAAGTTCTGATTTGCAGACTGCAAATTATTTTCCTCGAACTGCATTTTAGCGTTAGTCTCTGAGCGTATATGTTTTCACAGTTATGGGCGTGTGTGAATAAATATTTCTTCCATCTCTATAATACGTGTTGTGGATTTGATTTCGGTTCTTGCGAGTCAATGCCGTTACCCTTGGATAGACAAATGAGCTACCGCGAAGCCAGCGCGGATGAAACCGACTTAAACTCTTCTGTCAAAGAAGCCGCGCGCACGAGATTTAATTCGCTCTGTTTTTCACGAGAACGCGCGAGCGAGAGGAAATAAAAGAACGAAACAGGAGCAGCCGAGCCAAGCACACACCTTATTGTTAATTATATAGTAACAATTAAATGTACAGTTTCAAGCACAGAGAACGAAAAAAACAACACTTGATCTGCTTCTCGCTGGATTCGGTTTTATTACCACTTGTGGCTGTATTAGCAAGACCGTAAAGAGTAAAACACACACGGATGTAGAGAGGAAAGAGGAACATTTATTTTATTACCACTGGGAATTGTGATAATGATAATTGAAACGTCCGCTAGTAAAAGGTGAAACTATTTTTTTCCGTCTCAAAATTAGGTAAGAATAAGCATGGATTATAAATTTTTATATTCCCATTTTTTCTAATGAAACCAAGAAATAATTAAATTAAACATTTCAGTTTTTGATAGAATTATAGTTTTAAAGATTTTTTAACAAAATTTAAAAGCCAATTGATTCTGAAAATTACCTTGTAAATTAAAATACTCTTGAATCAGATCTCATGTTATAGTTATCAATAGAAAAACCAAAAAGATGGATAATCTACTTGCTATAAGTTTCAATAATTTTTGTAACTTTTGCAAATTTTAAAATTTGTTCTTATTTTTTACACGGAAACAAAATACTAAGAAAATTTTCAAAATAAACTTAAAATCCAGGTCCTAAATTTTATATAAAATAATATCTCCAAACCTGCGACTTCTTCTGGTCCTGTGCTCTGAGGTGTTAGTGAGGCGAGGCGGAGGCCCTGAGTGAGCTGACTCGAGCGGCAGGCGGCCGGTAACTGTATTTTGGTCGGCCATCAAGGGAATAAATACCTCGCGCCTGACCCACATCCGTAGCGCCTCATACGTACAAATTCCCTGTCGCTTGATCTTGCGCTGGCTGGCGTGCGCAGCAAAAACAAAAGTAATGGCTTAATTTGCATTGTTCCCGCAGGGTTCGGCGGCCAAGGGCGGAAAAAATTATAATCAAAAATCTTGGGCATATTTCACGCGCGTCAGCGCGATTTTATTGAACTGAGATTATGCACACATTTATGCTTCCGTCGCATGAATAAAAACACATTCACTGAATTCGCTCTGCCAAGGCGACTTTACAGGCAAACAGAATAATTTATCGTCGACATAAGTATTGCTCGTTACGGGGGTGTTTGTGTGACAAAAACCGCTGTTTGATTTACATTGCAGACAATCAAATATTAAAAATAAAAATTAATTTAAACACGCACATTTCATTAGCAATGTAAAATGGGTTGATCCACAAGATCATAGTAAAATGGATTTCCTTAAAAAAATCAAATTTTTTAAATAACTCAGGAAATACTATTTATCCAGTTTAGGGATAATAAAATTAATTTCAAGCTATCGCTAGTGTCTACAAACTTATTTGCTTAAATTTGTAAAAAGTTTCAACGTCAACAAACTTCACATCAACATAAGAAACATTTTCCCACATTTTCTCCATCGCATTTCATCAGCATAATATACTGATTGATACAAATTTCCATAGTACAAACAGTTAGGTTTGAAAGCTGGCTTCGAAAAGGCCAAATGTGTCAGACTGCAAAATGATCAATTGGAAACATCTTGAGCAGCTGACCAACATCGTAAAACAATCGGTGAAGTAAAAATCACATTAACTGACAATTTAGAGCAATTCAATTCAAATTATTAGAGGAATGTTTGCTGATTTTATGATTAGTTTTCGGGAGTGACGGGTTCCTTGCCCAAGTGAGTTTTGAGGTGTTTGTTGTGGTTGGACTTGGTGGTCGAGTTCTTGCCACAGATGTGGCACGAGTAGGGCTTCTCCCCCGAGTGGGTGCGCATGTGTTCAGCCAAGTAGTACGACCTGTGGAACGTCTTGCTGCAGATCTCGCATGTGTGCTCTTTGTCCTTGACGTGTTCTCTGTAGTGGCGCATGCAGTTCGACTTGCGCAGGAACTTCATTCCGCACACGTTGCAGGTGTACGCCTGTAATCAATCGCTAGTTTTGAGAAAATTTTCGAAGGGGCATCAAGCGGTTTTGAGGTTCTGTACCTTGTGCTTGGTGTGCGAACGCCGGTGCGCCTCCAGGTCTTCCTTTCGGTAGAAGGCTTTTCGGCACTGCTGGACGTCACACTTGAGAGGCAGCTGGGCTGGAGACTCGTGGGTCCACATGTGCTGGCTCAGGTTCCAACGAGTTGTAAACGCCTAAAACGAAAAATGACAAAAAAATGTAATGCTTGAAATTCTAAAATAAAATGTTATTTTTAGAAAATTATAGTCAAAATATAATAGTGTAAAAATATCTAAATTTTCATTCTAAAAACTAAAATCAAAAAGTTAATGAAAAGGTTTCACAATTAAATTTGGTTCAATTATAAAACAAGGAGTCTTTTACAGCAAAAAATATTTTTTTTGAATGTTAAATTTTTTTTTAATAAATTACCTTGAAACAAATAGTGCACTTGTACGGCTTGATCCCTGAGTGAGTGCGCATGTGCACGGCAAGAGAGGTCTTCGAGTAAACACCCCCGCACTCGGTGCATTCCTTGTACCCCTTTTTGGGTCCTCCCTCTTTGGCCTGTGGCAGGTACTTGCGGTCGTGGAGCTGGCGGACGTGGCGAGTCAGACAGGAGGCGTGGGTAAATCGCTGGGGGCAGTGGGCGCAAACATGCGGCTGCGGAAAGTGAGCCTCCTCCAGGTGCCACTCCATTCTCTTCTTCGAGTGGAAAATCTGAGGAAAAAATATTTTGCTTATTTAATCAACTTAAGCTTAGATAGAAGTAAAATGATTTACTTTAAATCTTTTCAAATTTTATTAAAATAAGAATGAAACATTTTTTAAGTGAATTTTTTTTTGTCATATAAAATTTAAATTGTTGATACTGATTGAATCTAATAGACACATTTTATATAGAAGAAAACAATTTCATAAATGTACCTGTTCGCAGAAGCTACAATGCAAATCGATCGGAGGCTTGCGTTTCCGCAAATGGAGCCAATCCCTGTGCTGAATCAGGTTACTGTAGCGCCGAAAACCTTTACCACATATCTAGACAGATAAAAGAATTTAGCTCAACACATCAAATCATAGAATAAAGTTACTACCTTGCAGTCATAAGGTGTGAGCCCAGAGTGCTTGTTGGAGTGCTCCATGAGTTTCTGCTTGGTTATGAAACTCTTATCACACACTTGGCACTTGTGAGGACGAATGTTCATCTCGCGCTTCATGTGCAGACTGAGGCTGGGCAAACTCTTGAAGGTCTTTCCACACAGAGGACACTCGAGTGGGTGAGACTTGGTGTGCTCCAAGTAGTCCTTCCTCTCCGAAAACTCGCATGGCACCACGCAAATGGGGCACCTGTACCTGGAGAGCAGAAGCGAAACAATTAATTTGCTAAGAAGAATCAAGAAAAAGACAAACTTGGTTTTGCGATGCTCTTTGCGTCGGTGGTTCTGCAGTTCGCGGTAGCTGTTGAAGGTCTGGTTGCAGACGGAGCAAACCTGCTGTCTACGCACAGACTGCTCCACCAGCAGAGTTTCTTCACCCATCACAGTCATTAGTACTTTTTGTTCTACGGGTTCCTGATTTTCGGCTGGCTTGAGATCTTGGTCGACGGGACGCCATTGGTTTCCTCCACTGCCAATGGGAATTCCTCTGTTTACAATAGTCCCACAGAACACCATGTTGCGTTCGGTGTGACTACTACTGCAATGAGAGAGAAATAAAATTATTTAATTTTATAATAAAAACAAAAGACATTGCTTAAATATGGCTAAAATTGTTAATAGATATAAATTTAAAATTAACAGACTAACAAACCTTTGGGTAGAGGTTGAAGTGCTGGCAGTCGCTGCTTCCGAATGTCGGGATGCAGCGGCCGCCAAGGGCTGCCAGTCGGTCAGCAAGTGAGGAGTTTCAGACCTCCTCTGAATTGCTAATCCCGAGAACACCTGGACAGAATTTATTTTAGTAAAGCAAACATTGCAATGCACTCCATATTCACATCTTCGGCTGCAGGTCCCCAGAGAGAGGCAGAGTCACCCCCGATACTCTCCTGCTCACTGAGTTCACCCTGCGGAGGCATCGTTTCATCAGTCTGGATGTCTCTGATAGAGGCATTGTCCTGGAAAAACAATCAAAACTCCATTTAAAATTTGTCACACAAATTTGGTTCTGTGTTAAAAACATAATTAAAAATCAATAAAGGTATTTTTTTCAATATAATTTACAAAAAATAATGTCATTTACGAAAACCCTATTAATGGTTTTAAAATAGCACAAATAGCAAAAATTAACCTTTAAATGGTACAAAAAAAAGTACAAATACAACTTATGCCTACTTTTGGTGAATGAGGACCAACGCTGAAATGGTCCGATGCTTCATACTCGTCGTTGGAAATGCCGAGCACAATTTCGCCCTTATTTTCTCCCTGCTCGATCTCACTAGGTCCCTGGAAGCTATCCGAGCGGTCGGAATGAGCGTCCAACACCTCGGAGCAACGCACCATCTCCTCTTCCTTCTGTCTGACGATCAGTTCTAAGGTTTGCGAGATTGAACTGCAGCCTTGTGCATTGGCAACATTGCTTCTTGATATTTGAGCAAGTTCCTCCTTAATATCGATGAAGACGTTTTCGACCACAGTTGCATTTTCACGGAACACAGTATGTGTCATCAGCGCTGATTTGGCAGTAGAAGCTCCAGACGAACCAGATGCAGCTAAATATATGAAATTCAATCATTTAAAAAACTCCAAATTTTGTTAAAAAGTACCTTCGGGTTGAGTTTCAGGTGAAGCTGCTCTTGACTTGTCATTCTGCGGCTCATCTTCTTCTTCGTTGCTCTCGTAAAAATGTTCATCCTCGTCCTCATTTTTGCCAGCTTCGTCTGGTGTTTCATTTTTATCAAGCTTTGCCTGGTTGGCAATTACCTTCTCTGGCGAAACTGCTAAAAAAATAAAGGAAGAAATTGTAAAAAAAAAAAAATAATAATAATAAATAACTCTTGATCTTTTACATTTTTGGCGAAAGACCTTGTCAATTTTTAATGCATAATAAATTATATAATGTGACCTATTTCATGGGATTATATTTACACATACCTGCAGCGGGTCTGATAAGTGGTGTGCCGCTGGCCTGGGTGTGTGTTGGAGAGGCCTGCGGAGGCGGTGGTCGGGGGCTGGAGGCGCTGAAAACAGGCCCCGGAGCCACAAATGGCGCTGGCACTGGATTGTAATGGAGGTAACTCGGGGGTTGCACGAAAAGGCTGAACGGCGTGTACGAGTTAGTCGGCAGCGTCGGCACAAACTGAAGAGGTGAGGCCGCAGGGGCGGCCGCGGAGGCCGCGGTCACACACCTTCGTATCAACGCATGGATCACCTGCGAAAGCGGCAAGGGTGATGTAAAAGTTGGGCAACCAGAGTGAAACAAAATGACTGTCGGATCATAAAATTTTATTCATCTTCCCCTGATTAAATTGGATTTTCTCGGCTTCAAGACGAGTTTAGATCATTAATATGCAAATTAAAAAAATGAATTTGTGCATTTTCCATCCAAATGGAGCAGTTTAATAATTAATTAAGCGTCCCACTACGACAGTGGAATTGCTGTCGTCGAGCGAACATTCACCTGATCCTTGGGGTGCGTGTTGAGGTGTTCCTCGAGCGAGATGCCCTTGCGCACCGACAGGGTGCACACGGGACACACAGGGTCCTCCATGGTGGCGAGGGGTGCCCTCGGGGTGCCTGCGTCGGCGGCCGATTGGGTCAAATTTGGCCGAAATGTGGCGACCAAAGCGTTCGATGGCGCACGTCAAAACGCCATCTTGCTGCCAAGTGCAATTTGCAAGAGGTGGGGGTGGATCACGTGACTAGAGTTTTTGATTCGCTACCACGGACGGTGCTGCCATGCCTGCAGCGGCGGGAAATAAATTATTATTATATTGCACGTTCTGAACTCAAAAAATGAAAAAAAAAAAAAAAAAACTTGTGTCATTATTTTTATTTTATGATCCAACTACTTAAAAAAATTAATTCATAATTCTAATGAACCAATCAATCATTTAAAAAAATTAATAGGTAAACTTTATATTCTATGTTAATTAATTAAAATAATTTATTATGCCACTTTTGATCTATGTATGTCATGGTTTGTGCGGAACAGATGACTGGTCAAAATAATTTAAAATACTTTTTATCATATTTATTTGCCACATATTAATCAGTTCCTTTTTAATTACTTTAGTACTACTCACAACATTTTTTAAACAGAGTTTTTACTTGACAATATGAATCTATGAACTAGTACCTTCTCTTACCATTTTTGATAAATTGAATCAATAATACGCTGTTTTTGAAGTCTCTGAAATCATGTGAATGATTTCAATCTTTTGATGACTGATGTGCATCAAAAAATTATGTCAGTCTTCTGGTCTTAAATTTATTTGCTCTTTATTTCTTTTTTTAAATAAAAGAGAAAGAACTGAAAATAATATTTCCTTTAATAAAATGTTTATAACAGATTTTATAATTATAAACGCAAAGAAAATGTTTCTAGAATATATCGTTATATAATTTCAATATTTTGTAATACGAATTTTTAATTAAATTATCTAAGAATTTCAGACTATATTCAGAGGTACGAGGGGAATAAATTGAAACACACCTGCCATTTGCCATTTTTCAATAATAGAGTGTTTAATGAAGTAATTAATAATAATAATCATAATAATCATAATTAATAATTATGGTCTGCAGTTATGCTTTTTGCGCAACACAAAAGAACCACTGATCGTCCAACTGGGGCGAGTCCTGCTGGGGGCGGCGGCGCCCCCGGTCAGGTGAGAAACTGTCTCTCACTTGACGGCTTGTTATTGTTCCGGCACGGCACCACTTTCACATTGTTGAGGGCCTGTTTCTGGTCGAAGGCGGCCAACGAGTTGGACGTGGTCTCGCCGTACCTCGGAGGCCCGCCGCCAGCGCCCCGCATTCGAGTCGGCATGGACGCCGAGTTCGGCGCCGTCCGGTTCGGCGCCACCTTCAGCTGCGTTAGCTCCTCCTGCTGCAATGGAAATTTTTTTTAATAAAGTACAAACAAAAATTAACAAGTTTTCATCAAGATTTTAAAGGTTAAAGCTTCTAGGATAGAAATGAGATGGATTTGGTGGCAAATTTAATATTAGGAAAGAATTATGAATTAAATTTTTGAAATATTTGAAAAGTTTGAATTGATCTTTGACTTTTCTTCAATGGGGAATTTGAGTCGTTTACAATTTTAATGAATTATGACTGCAGAGAGTAACCAAAAAAGAAGAGCAAGATATTTATTTTTCTGTGAAATAATAAACCATTAGAGTGGTCTAGAGAGGAAAACCTGAACCTGAGTTAAAACACTGTTCAAAAAATTTAATTGAAATTACACCAATTGCACAAATAAAATTATCTAATAAATATGAAAATAAATTTTGATTCCTTTCTCGCCTTTCTCATTATAGATAAATAAAAAATCAATATAAAAAACTAGGTCAATCTAATTCAAAATTTTCTAAAATTTCCAACATTCATAATACTTTAAAAGTCACGAGTTTAGAAGTTTGAAAATGTCCCTAACTCTGATAAAAATCAAAATGTGTTACCTGTTCAGGTATCCTGAAATTGAAATCTCTGTTTCTGGATCTCTCGGGCACTGGGATTGAGACAGGCAAATTTTTAGACAGGCTGTTGCACACGTCTCGATTCCGCACCTGCTGCTCTGCGGCCTCGGCCACGGCCCTCCTTTCGGCCCGACTGGGCGCTCCTCCTTGGAATGCGAATGTCTGCAACAAGAACGGCAACAAATTAAGTCAAAATCCTCTCTTATGTAAGACAAAAATAAAAAAAATCAATCTGTTGAAGAATCGAGTGAACGAGACTGGTAAACAAAAAAGTGCTGAATCATCCCCCACCCCCGTTAAGTAGAGAAAGCCCTGCGGACCTGGACGAGCGGGGGCAGCGCTAGGTGTGGGCCGTGGGGCCTGCAGGCGGAAAGTGAGAGTCTGCAGGAGCAGCACGTGCGGGCGCGAGTGCAGGTGCAGCGGCCAGACGAGGGGCAGACGGCTCGATAAGCCTGTCTCGCCGCCTCCCCTCCCCTATCGATCCGCCCCCGGCCGCAATCAGCGCGGAAGCTCCCCTCCGTCTGCCACCCCCGCCAGCCACTTTCGGTCGCGTTCCCCGACCAGATAATTTGTCTGCACCTCGATCCTTCTTCGTCTTCTTCTGCTTTTTTTTTATACACTTGCGCGATTTTCGGGATTATTTCACTCAGCCGGTTGGTCGGGGCGGGCGACTTTTGCTCGTCGGCCAGACTGCCAGCGTTTGCTCTTTCTTGTCGCTCGCTCGCTAGGGCTTTCACTGCGGGCGAAAACGTGGTCTTGGAGGGGCGCGATCGATACCGACGGTCGGCCTGTTTTACAACGGCTTTAGCCGAGAATTCATTCGCGCGCCACCAGTCCGACGCCCCACTGGAGAACGCTTTGAATTGGATAACTCTTGCTTGCGTTGGTTAATTTGGCTCTGGCAATCAATATTCACGAACCGTTCCAAAAACTTCAATGATTCCTAAAATTTAGTAAAAATTGTTTTTAGGCTGCAAAATTCTCCAATTCAAGCTTTTTCATGAACATAAACTATTTTAGGAAATATTATATTTCAAATAATATAAGAATATAGCTAAGAGTTTGAGAAACCGAGTTTAATTCAATACTTTCCTTCAAAGGTTAGCTTACAATATCAATACTTAATTTTGGTGATATTTCACGTTGAGCAGTTTCATTTATTGCTCAAACGTTTTCGCACCACTTGAATTTTCACCTTCCAACGCAATTTTATTTCATAATTCACGCACTGCTTTTTCATTAATTAGCAAAAAAGATCCCTGCTTTTCCACCGATAAAAATATCAGACTCAGCCGAGTGAACTCGAGCGAAAGAAACTGCGCGTTGCGAGACGGTTCTCGAGTTATGCAACCTGCTTGACGCAAAAGCCGAGCGGGTTGCGTTGCCATTGTGCAGGGGTACTGCCGAGCACAGACTAGAGAGAGAGAAAATGTGCCGCCGCATTCGAAACCGAGTCGGTCGCCGTTGTGTAAAAAGCATTCGCGCGCACAATGGGAAGCACGAGCAACTTTTGTGTTGCGGAATTTTTTTCCCTGGTGTGGAACATATATATGGTGATATTCCACGGCGCTTGGAAAGCGACGCGCATTGTTTCATTTTTAAAATGAGACGCCGTTGTTCACCTCTCTCTCGTGGAAAAACGCGCATAATGGATGAAAAAAATGCGTGGAAAATGCGACGGTTCTCGGCGGACGAGACGCGAGTGATTTCGCAATTCGTTGGAAAAAGAAGGATATATCGTGATGATATATCAGTGATGAATGCCGTGGCTAGACAATGCATCCGGAGCAGTCTCGTAACAAAAAACATTTACGTCGACATTTATTTGAATAGCAGCGGATTCTGGCATGATAACATGAATACAATCCATTAAATTAAATATATAAAAAATTATTTGCGAAATAAAATTTTGACCCCAAATGTTTCTCATTTGATTGCAGATTCACATTTAAATTCATTCTACTGCTGCTTTAATAATGGTTTGGTATTCACCTTGTTAAGATCAAGTAATAATTTACAAAAATGACAAGGAAAAGCTTCTTTGGGAATAAAAATAAGTTTTAATTGATGAAAGAAATTTAAATTTTCAAAAAAGCCCGTTCATATTGATTTGAATATGCATGAAAAAGATTAAGTTTGTTCTCTTAGTGAACATGAATAAACGCCAACAAACTGAGCAAATAATAAAATTCCAATAGGTCCGTAAAATAATTTCAAAATTGCAAGAAAAAATAAATCATCAGACTCGGCTTAAAGTGGAGTTCTCAATGTTTCATAAGTTGGTAGCCCTGATTATACTGTTTAAAGGGGTTTTGATTGGAAATTGTGGCTCACCTGATCAGTAGAGGAGTCAGAGTGGGGGCAGTCAGGCGCTTGGGGTGCGCATTGGGGACAGAGTGGGCACGTGCTGGTCCAACGGACGACATCGCCGCTGCAGCAGGGGGCGTGCCCGGGGCGGCGCGCCCCCATAAACAAGCTGCGACACACAGTCCAGAAGCGGGGGGCGGCCGGGGTCGGCCTCACCGGCGGGCCATCAAGCTGGGGGCGGCCGTTCAGCTCTGCGCTGCTGCCCACCGCGGCCACTCTACTGCCCTCGATCGTTTCTAGCGGGCGCGGGTGGCCAGCCTGCTGGGCACAGTGCTGCCACCAGCCGCACTGCACATGCGCGCTCTGCCCTACGCCGAGCACGCACACCACGAACACCCAGATCCAAACTGAAACAACAAGAAACAAGGCAATTTTAATTACCTCCCTTGAAGAAAAACTTGTAGAAAAGGGACTGACTAGTTAAGAGAAAAACGGAAAATAACTGTGACTTCCAAGTTTTTTCTGCTACTACAACTTTATTTTGTTTTTAGAACATCTGAAAATTTGTAGTTTGAACATTTCCTTCAAATAGCGGACCATTTTTTGCAATTATTGAATAAATCATAGTGAAAAAAATGGAAAAAAATTACTACACATGAACTTAAAATTTATACTGTAGCCGGTTTAATGCTAATTCCAGAATTTCTAGATTTATTTTTATCAATTTATACAGAAGATTAATTTTAAAGATTTTAATTTCAATGTACATTTCTTTGGAATATTGTGCAAAACTATTTGTAGAAAACAAAAATAATTGAAAAAAAAATACTGCAGAATAATATTAAATTTATTCCATAGCCAGTTTAATGCTCTTGCTCTTTCCAGAATTATTAGATTTATTTTTATTAATTAAAACAGATAATTTATTTTAATATTTAAATTCCATTCCAAGTTTCTTGAGAATATTGTACGAAACCATTTGAAGAAAATAAACACAAATCAATTTATCAACAGCGAATAAAGTTTCTCCTGATTTGTAGACCCTTTAGTGAAATAACCAAATTAATTATTTGCTTCAATGGTGGTTAAAATTTTGAATTATTTTTCCAAAATTATACTAAAAGTTTGGAAAAATCAGAAAATTTGAATAGTTATTTATTTCCAATTTCAAGCATAGATTATCAGAATTGTGCCCAAATAGAATAATCAATTAATGCTCCCTATTAAATTATATTGTATACAAAATTAAATATTTGGAAGTTTTATAATTTTAAAATACCAAAAAAGAGGTGAAGTAAAATTGCACATGCAAATATAATCAGTAAAACACGAGAAGTTTCTTCAAATATTATGATTTTTATTTTCATTCGTTCTTTCCAACAAAAATTTTAAGGTATAATTAAAATGTTGGGAATGTGTGTTTACTAAAAAAAAAAATTAAATAAAAATGTAAGCATGCAATTTAATGGTTTTCGTTTTTCTTCTGTTTAAAAAATTTTTTATCATTCAAATTTCAAATTGCAATATTTGAGAAAAAAATTAAAAAATTTGAATAGAGTTTTGCCTTTTGGTGCTCCGTGGTGCTCAAGTGTTTAAGCTGTTGGCGAATTAAGGACAAGGGGAGCGCGGCGGCGGTCAAGCCGAAGGACGAATTGCACATTGCGATTGCGGAGGCGCGATTTTGGTGGCAAAAGAGGAATGGAAGGTGCTGGGGGCGAGGGTCAAGGCTCTGGTGCGGGACGTCAGCTGACTGCGGCTGGGGCAGCCGGGGGTGCGCGCGGCGAGGGGAAGGGGTGGGTGCCTTGCCAGACGAGTCTCCAAAAATAGCCAGCCGCGCGAGCAGGAAAAAGAAAAGCGAGAGAGAAAGAGCGGAGGACGACGAGTCAGCGAGGAGCGCGCCACAGCCTCTCAGACTGCGAACAGACTCGCTGCTTCTTCTTTGTCTTTCGCCCAGTCGACCGACGACACCACCGACAGGCCTGAGACTGAGACAATTTATGACGAGTGGGCCAGACGCACAAATCCGCAACCCCATCCACAGCTTTTAGTTTTGCGCAGCCACTTTGCAAACACGATAACCGTGAGCGGTTGCATTCTTTGATATATTTTTTTTATCTTAAACTCTGGCCAATTTTCCTACTTCAATCAATATTTCAAATAATTATTTGAAAAATGAAATTTTTTATCAGGAGTTTAAAGGAAATTTTCAAAGATTAATTTTAATAATTAGAAAATTTTTTAAATAGGATTTGTTTAGTAGATTTGTGCCAATTTCAAGAAGCATGAATATAAAAATAAGAAGAAGAAAACCGAAATTTCTGTAAAACATTATTCTGAATAAAGGAGCTAATTATTTGACAAATTTTTGTAGCACCAAACTATATACATATTATACCGCATTAAGTAATTTACAACCATAGAAATGAATCAGTTGGCAATAAATGAATTCAGTTCTCCCGCAATGGAACTCTGACATCTACAAACCAATGCTAATGTAAAACTGCCATCAAAATTACAATTAAGGCCTTTTTTTGCACAAGCCTCTCCTTCATCGATTTTTAAGAAAGTAAAATTGTTATCATAATGGGTGTCAATTATTCATATTCATCTTACAAAGAATATTAGAAACGTAAAGAAAACGCAGAAGAAGCTTAAAATTTCTGCAGGTGAAAAAAACTGGTACATTTTTAGGAAACTAATTTGCTTTAATTAAATTTTTATGTCTATTAGTTAAGAAAATAGCTAGTACATGGTGGAATTGCACGATAAATTTGATTAAAAAAATTTATAAATTTTGAATAACTCTGAATAGTAAATGTTTTAAAACTTTGAACGGAAAAAAAGAAAAGTAAAGTTCAATCAATAAAAATACTACTTCTTAGCGGGATTGAATTAACTTACAATTAGTAAAATTATAATATCGAGCGAAGAATATTTTAAATAAAATCTAATCAAAGTTTTTTTTGCGGATATTGATTTTCTTTTTTCCTCCTTTGTCTCACTTACTATGTCACGAGAGGAATGCGTTTGGAATCGCGGCCGGAGTGCGCGCGCGTTGTCCCTTCTCACGCAAATTAAGAGCAAAAGTCACATGCTAAATTTATCCCAGTTCCGATTATTTTCTTTTTCGCGCGAACCGGCCCGAGTGAGTGAGTGAGTGAGCGTGCCACGTGCGATTGTTGTTCGGCACGCGGGGAACGCACCCCTGCTGGACGTGCAAACCGCATTCCGATGCGCGCGATTGAGGGTCAGGAGAGTGAAAGGGATCGAATTGTGCATGTGTGCGTGATTCACCCCCGGTGCAGGCAGCACTAATAGTAGACACCGAGGCGGTAGGTCCGTTGCATGCACTGCTCTGCTTTTAGCCGACTCGCCCTGTGGTGGTGCGTGTGTGTGTGTCCATATCGCCAGCCCCCTTGGCCGCCGCCCAAATCGCTCTGCGCCCGACAGAATCTGTTCAGAATGGGTCTGGCCTGACTCGCGCGCCCGAGTGTGAATTTATGAAATGCCCTCGGGGGTGCACGTGACCCGTTTGACAATCGGGGCGAAAATGGCAATAGTTTCGCAAGTGCAGCGCCGAGGAATTCCTCGGCAGTTTGTACTTTGAGATTTTCGCAATTTCACAGCAGAGTTTGAATGGAATGCGGTTTCTAAATTTGCCCGAGAATTTTTATGTTAGGAGCGTTTTTAGCACTAACTTGGGAATTCTCTTCTTCAATCCTCCTGGCATTTGAAAGATTAAAAATAAGCACTCTAATCAAATTAGCAACATGACCTCTACTGAATAAGGGCATCTGCTATTTTTTTCCGGTTGCTTTTGACTAACCTGATATACGAGTTTATTTATCACTATCATTAAGATGAATTATGTTTATAAATAAATTAGATACACAAGAAAGAAATTAAGGGGGGGGGGAATTAACATAGAAGTTATAGGCCGAATATTTATTGAAAGAAAAAAACATCATTGATTGATTCAAACTTGAATTACTCACAATATTCCCAAAGATTTATGCAATATTTATAAAAAAAAAAACTACTTAATTTTCGTTCTGAGAATTAAATTTTTAAGTTGTTTTGTGATTGAATTGAAACAGATATAAATTTTAAATAGTGTGTTGAAAATTTTCAATTTTCTACAACTATGGCAATTGATGGTTACTTTTTAAATGTCAGATTCCAAAAATTCCAGATTATATTTGGAAAAAAAAATAATGTAAAACAATTTTATAAATTGAACTAAAATTTTGGAAATAATCCTTCACGACTCTTTATTTGCAAAATAAAATCAAGTCTTTACATCAATGGGGGCTAAATTTTCCAACTGCATTTTAATAAGTGCAAAAGAAAATGCTCCAATTGTTCTAAATTATTGATTTCACTTATCAAATAAGCATTGTTAATTATTTTTTCACAGCAAAAATCAGATCAATTTAATTTCTTCGTGAAAAAGAAAACCAAAATTTTACTTCTAATTGAGCTGTCTTTGTTATGCAGATTTCCCAGTGCAACATTACTTCCGTTAATTAAAAAAAACAAAATCATCCACCGGTGCATAATCCTTTGTGCAAATTTTCTTCGCAACCCCTGCGAGCGAGCGAGCGGTGCGCCTCCAATTAGCGAGTGCAACCATAGAAGAGTTGCACAAGCTCTCATTAGAAATGACGTTGTGTGTGTGTGTGTGTGTGTGCGGAACTTAATGGAGCTCTTGAGTGGCAGCGGGTGCGTGAGTGCAAGTTAGTTGGTTGCCCACAGGGCGCGCACTCCGCCGACAACAAAAGGAAAACGACGCCCCAAAGCGGTTCGCATTGAAAAGTCGAGGCTCTTTCAAGGCCCCGTCCGACCGACCGTCCGCTGGCTTTTTAAAAAGCAAAGTGGGTTCGCAGCAAAAAGGGGGGCACCGAGAGCACCGTGTGTGTGTTTGTGCGCGCCACGATGAATAAGAGTACGAGCACGCCAGTATAATAATTGCGCGCTCGCGGGGTCAATGACCCCCGCGTCTCTCTCTCTCTCTCTAGCTCGCTGTGCCGCCCTAACGCAGAGAAAAACTCTATGCTGGCCGTAAGTGTGCGAAAAAGATGTTCTTTCTTTCTTTCTCTTGGCGGATTTACTTTTGCACCGGCGCATCTTTGTTTCGAGTCAGGTGAACCCGCTCGCGAGAACGTTGGCCTTGCTTGGCTGGCTTTTATGACTCGTGAAAACATGCAAGCGAGACGACCTAGCGACGAGCGCGGTTGCTGCCTCGCGCGGTTGCTGCCTCTTCGTGCTGACTTGGACTTATTGTTGGTCGCGGAAAAAATGAAAAGGGTTTTGCGGAAATCGAGTTTTCCGAAAGGTCACTTGTTTTGGTTGCATTTTTGAGGCAGTAATATTTGAGCTTCGAGCATTAAATGAAAATTTTTAGAAA